GCAAACACAGCGCGAGGCTGGCCACGGGGAGAGGGGGCCTTGGCCTCGGCCCGGGGGGCAATGGGGGCTGGCAGCTGGGGGAGGGGGAAGTCAGGCCATGTTCATAGTGTGTGTGTGTGGGGGGGGTTGATTGGTGCTGGCCCTAGGGAGAGAAAAGTGCTGAGCAACCCCCCGCTCTGCCGGTGCCCCTCCCTCCCCACCCGCAGCCCCTGCTCTCTCAGCCTTGGGCCCCCCCAGCTCTGCCAGTGCCCCTCACTCCCAACCTGTAGCCCCCTGCTAGCCCAGCCCTGGGCTCCCCCCAACTCTGCTGGTGCCCCTCACTCCCGACCCGCAGCCCCCCGCGGGCCCAGCCCTGAACTCCCCCATCTTTGCAACTCACCGGCCCCTTAACTGCTTCGATGCTACGTGCAATCTCTTCCTGCAACAGACCCTGCGGCCCTTGCTAATAAATAAATGTCTGTTCTGTGTTTGGGAAAAAAGCCAGAACACGTCCTTGATGATGATGAAATATTATCTAGTCCAACAATAACTCAGCTGGATGTTAAACAATAGCTGCGTTTCAAATCACCGGGGCAGGTCACTTGCATCCTAGAGTTTGAAAAGAGTTGGCCAAGGAGTTAAGCCTTGTAACAAGGGGACATTCCCAAGGACTGGAAGAAAGCTAATGTTGTGCCAGTCTTTAAACACGATGCCCTGGGTTATTAGAGTCCTGTCAGCCGCCTGACAGCCCCAGGCCAGATTCTGGCGAGAGGGATGCTGTTAATGAAGGATTAAAGGCGGGTAATGTAACGATCGATAGGGGTTTATGGAAAATAGATCCTGTCAAAGTAATGGGATAGTTTTGAACGAGATTACAAATTTGCTTGATAGAGGCGATAGGGTGATATCATCTACGTAGATTTCCGTGACTTGACGTTCCAATTGCAAAAACCAGAACGGTCCCAATTCAGTGTGGTCCGGGTGAAGCGGATTATAAACCGGGTCCTGAGAGGGATCGACATGTCACTGCAAATGGAGAATCAGCGTTGGGCGGGTGTGTTTCTAGTGGGGTCCCGCAGGGACCGGGTCTTGGCCGTACCATTTCTGACATTTTTATCAACGGCCTGGGAGAAAACATCAAATCCCCCACGGACAGAGCGTGCGGACGGCCCAAAGAATGGGAGAGTGATAGATCATGAAGAGGGCAGGTCACTGATACGGAGCGACCTGGATCGCTCGGCAAACCGGGCACAAGCAAACAATCCGCATGTTAATTCGGCCAGCGTAAACAGCTAGGAATGAGGACTAGGTCGTACTTAGTGGCTGGGGGGGCTCGTCCTGGGGGGCCGTGACTCTGACAAAGATTTGGGGGGCGTGGCGGAGCATCAGCTGAACACGAGCTCCCAGTCGGGGACTTAAACAGGGGAATCTGGAGTAGGAGCAGAGAGGTGCTGTTACCTTCTGTGTCTGGCCCTGGAGTCACAATGTCACTCTATAAAGCCACGGTACGGCCACACCCCGAACGCTGCCTGCAGTTCTGGTTGCCCCAGCCCAAAAGGGGTGTATTAGAATTGGAAAAGGTTCAGAAAAGGGCAACAAAAATGATTCGGGGTGTGGAACAGCTTCCGTACGAGGCAAGATTAATAAGGCTGGGACTGTTGAGCTTGGAAAAGAAACGTCTAAGGGGGGATATGATCGAGGTCTATAAAATCTTTACTGGTGTGGAGAAAGTGAATAAAGATGTGTTATTTACTCCTCCTAACGCAAGAACCAGGGGTCACCCAATGAAATTAACAGGCAGCAGGTTTAAAACAAATACAAAGAAGTATTTCTTCTCACAACGCACAGTCAACCTGTGGAACTCCTTGCCAGAGGATGTTGTGAAGGCCAAGACCATAACAGCGTTTAAAAAAGAACTAGATAAATTCATGGAGGACAGGTCCATCAATGGCTATTAGCCAGGCTGGGCAGGGATGGTGTCCCTAGCCTCTGTTGGCCAGAAGCTGGAATGGGCGACGGGATGGATCACTGAATGATTCCCTGCTCTGTTCACCTGGCACGGCCACTGTCAGAAGACAGGACGCTGGGCCGGATGGACCCTTGATCTGACCCGGTCTGGCCGTTCTTATGACCGCTGCTGGACTCGTGTCCACAGTTCAGGAAGGACGTTGGTAAATCGGAGTGGGGTCAGAGAGGAGCCACGCAGAGGATTAAAGGGTCGGAAAACCTGCCTTAGAGCCAAAGGGAAGGAGAAGGGGAGCCAGCATGTAACAGCCGGCTCTGGGGCGCAGGAGATGGAAGCTGAAGCTGGGCGGGAGCGAAGGCGCAGAGTTTAACCGGGAGGGCGATTAACCCCTGGACCCATCGCCCCAGGGCTGTGGTGGATTCGCCACCGCAGGGGATTTTCACCCCGGGATGGGAGGTTTTCCGAGATCGGTGCGACTTCCAGCCGGCCGTAACTCAGGGCAGGTCTCTGGTGGTCAGACTAGGGGGTCCCCCTGGTCCCTTCGGTGGGAATCTGACTCTCTAACCAGCCCCTCTTTGCTCCCCGCCCACAGCCTGGCGGCCGCCCTAGACGACTGCATGGAGGCCATGAACGCCTTCCTCTGCAACCAGTTCAGCGAGAGCCTGGAGAAGCTGCAGCCCAGGTGGGTGGAGGAGCTGCCCATGGTCCCTGGCCCCGATCCCTGGCCCCGATCCTCGGTGGGCCGAGGGCTCCCGGCATCTGCAGAGTGCATGTCAGGGGAGCTCGCCCTGGCCTGGGGGAGGGGGGGGGTCCTTCGATCCTCCCCACCCCCAATGCTGCATCCCAATGGGCATCAGGGGCCACGCCCCCCCCAACCCTGGGCATGGTGGGGCTCCTCGGGACGGGCGTGGCTGGCGGGCTGGGGGGGTCTCTCTCCTGTCACCTGCCCCCTGCTCCCGGCAGGACCAAGGAGAGCATGTACCACGCCCTGGTCTACGCCACCATCCTGGAGATGCAGGCCATGATGACCTTCGAGCATGAGGACATTGTGCAGGCCGGGCAGACCATGAAGGAGGCGCAGGAGATTTGCCAGAGGTGGGTGCGGGGGGCATGCGGGAGGTGGGGGTGGGGCAGCCAGGGAAGGGGGGATGGGGGATGGGACTCTGGCATCAGGGTGGGGGTAGCAGGGACTGGGGAAGGCCCGGTGAGGGGGGGGGAGCTGGGGCCCAGGAGCTGGTGAGCCGCACAGGGGCTGGCGGTCGGATGGGGAGTGACAGGACGTGGGCGGGAGTCTGGCCTGGCAATGGGACCCCCAGGCCGGGCCCCATGGAGGTCTCTGGGCGGGGGTGGGAGGGGAGGGGGCACCATTCTGCACCAGTCCCACTGCTGGGTGGAACAGACCCACCCGTCATGTGTCATAGCCCCGCTGCCCAGCACAGGGGGAGTTTCCCAGGGCTCGGGGGAGCCAGAGCCGAACCCCCTGGGGGAGCTGGGGCCTGGGAGGCCGTGGGGCGAAGATGGGGGAGCCCCTCCAGTTACAGCCTCCTCACTGCGGAAAATCCCCCCCCCCTTGGCGGTTACTGACCTTGTGGGTTGGGCGGGGCTGGGGCGGCCTGTAGGGGGAGAGGGGGGGGGGGGTGTAGCTGCCCCATCCCAGCCACCTTCCTCCCACCCCCAGGTTTCGGAGGAAATCCAGCGTGACTGGCTCCCTCTCCGGCCTGGTCAGCAAGGCGGATTCGTTCACCGAGGGTAAGAGACGCAGGGCATGGCCACAGGGCGACAGGGGTGGGGGGTGAGAGCAGCGGGCCGGGAGCCAGGACTCCTGGGTTCTACCCCTGGCTCTGGGGAGGGGAGTGGGGTCTAGTGGTTAGAGAAGGGGGCTGGGAGCCAGGACGCCTGGGTTCTATCCCCGGCTCTGGGGAGGGAGTGGTGTCTAGTGGTCAGAGCAGGGGGCCGGGAGCCAGGACTCCTGGGTTCTATCCCCAGTTGGGGGGTGGGGGGAGAGGTGGTTCAACTCCGGGGAGGGGGCTGCGGTGTTGCTGGAAGGGGGCGGGGCTTGGGGATGAGCAGGCCGCGCCCCCAGTCCCTGTCGCTCTCCCTCACAGTGGAGCTGCACGCCGAGGTCTGCTACGCGGAGTGTCTACTGCAGCGGGCGGCCCTGACCTTCCTGCAGGTACCGGATCCCCCTCCATGCGGTTGGCACGGGGCCAGGGGGCCAGGACTCCTGGGTTCCGAGCTAAATCCCAGGTGCTGCGGGGAGCGGGGTGGGGCTCAGCAGGGGGCGCTCTCCCCTCGCAGTCAGTGCTGGCCCCAGTGTGCCACTCGGGGGCGCTGCAGGTCACTCCCCAGGGCCCTTCCAAGGATTCGCCTTCGTATCCTGTCTCAGTGTTAGACAAAGTTGCTCTGTGGCTCCCCGCGCCCCACCCCAGAGGTGGCTGCATCTCAGCGCTGGGCGAGGGGCCCTTCCCTGGGGGTTTGTTCATTTCCCCCCTTCTCCCTGCAGGACGAGAACATGGTGAATTTCATCAAGGGGGGGATCAAGGTGCGGAGCAGCTACCTGATCTACAGGTGAGTGATGTCACCGTGGTGGTGCCGGGGGAGGGGGCCCCTGTTCAGGCTGCTGCCTCGGGGCCAGCTGGGGAGAGAGGGGGTCCCAGATGGGGCCCTCAGCCCCAGAAGGGCTTTTGTATTGTGAAGGTGGGAAATGTGATGGTTTTCCTGGGCACTCAATGTGGTGTACTGGTGAGAGCAGGGGGCTGGGAGCTAGGACTCCTGGGTTCTATCCCCAGCTTGGGGAGAGGAGTGGGGGCTAGTGGTTAGAGCAGGGGGTCTGGGAGCCAGGAATCCTGGATTCTATCCCCAGCTCAGGGAGAGGAGTGGGGGCTAGTGGTTAAAGCAGGGGGGCTGGGAGCCAGGACTCCTGGGTTCTGTCCCCGGCTCTGGGAGGGGAGTGGGGGCTAGTGGTTAGCACTCTCTGACTCTCCTGTTTCTTTTCCAGGGAACTGAGCAGTTTCATCCAGTCCAGTCACTGCACAGCAGGCGCTGCCCACGTACACTTAGAGGGAGGGGTGGCGCTGGGCATCGGCGCCTTTAATCTGGTGAGTTACTACTGAAGGGGGTGGGGAACGGGACACAGGGCCTTTCCCCTCTAGGGGGCGCTGGCTCTGCTCCGGCCCCAGGGCGGGGACTGGTTGATGGGAACGGGACACGGGGCCTTTCCCCTCTAGGAGGCGCCGGCTCCGATCTGCCCCGAGGGTGGGGGACTGGCTGACGGGAACAGGACACGGGGCCTTTCCCCTCGAGGGGGCGCCAGCTCCGCTCTGGCCCCAGGGCAGGGAATGGGACACGGGGCTTTTCATTCCTCTCTTCCCTCCCCAGACGCTCTCCCTCTTCCCTCCGCGGATCCTGAAGCTGCTGGAATTCGCTGGGTTTTCGGGGGACAAGGTAACCCCCTGCCTGGGGCTCCCGTCATCCCTTGCAGGGAGGGGCTGTCCCGCTCAGTCGGCAGGTCCCCACGATGGGGGTTCCCCTGGTCACTGCTGAGAAGGGGGGCTCTGTGGGGGTTCCTGCCAGGGGAGGGGGTCTGGGGGGCTAGCTGCGGTGTGTCTGGGGGGCAGGAATTGGGGTATGGGCCTTCCCTCCGTCCCCATCCCCATTGCAGCCAGAGCCCCACAGACTGAGGTTGTGCAGTGCCCCTCAGCCAGAGGGAGACGCTGAGCCCCACACCCCCAGCTCTCGGGGCTGTGTTGGGGGGGGCGGGCAGTGAGCATCTGCCCCTCCCCCCAGCTCTTGCTGGCCTGGTGGACTGCAGCTGCCCCCAGAGGGCGCCTCGCCCTGCCGTTGTGTGTGGCAGTGGCAGGCTGCGCCGCCCCAGAGGTGGCCGCATCAGGCGGCGCATTGGGACTCTGTAAGGGTGAGGGCCCCCAATGACCCCCCACTCTGCTGTGTCTCTCTGCCCAGGAGTACGGGCTGCAGCAGCTGCACGAGGGAGCGACCACCCTGAACCTGCGGGCCCTGCTCTGCACCATGCTGCTCCTCTGCTACTACACCTTCCTCACCTTCATCCTGGGTAGGCCTGCGGCCCGCCGGGGCGGGCGGGGGCGGGACTGGCTGGCTCGGGGGGGCAGGGGACGGGGCCTTTCCCCGCCAGGGGGCGCCAGCTCTGATCCGGCCCCCCGTTCCCATTCAGGGGGTCCCCGATCGCTCTTCGCCCCAGGCTCACCCCTCCTTGCACCCTCGCAGGGATCGGGGAGGACGATTTCACGGAAGCCGAGAGCTTGCTGAGACCCTACCTCCTTCGCTACCCCAAGGTACGGGGCCGGGCGGCGGGGCCCTTCCCCCTGCGGGGTGGGAGGGTCGGGGGAGGGGGTCTGTCCTCACTGGGGAGAATTGGGGCTGCCCCAGGTGCCCACGCTCTGGCCTCCTGACGGGTTTTGCTGCCCCGGCTAAAACTAGGGAGTGGAAAGAACTGGGCTTCCCCCACCCCAACCGGTGCCCCTCACTCCCGACTCGCAGCCCCCCATGTTGCGATTGCTGTATGGAGGCGTGTGGGACCCCCCCGATCACTGGGCTGAGACCCCCCCCAACTCACTTCCTGAGTGATCCCAGCATCCCCCACGCTTTGCCCCCTCCTCAGGGACCCTGCCCCCCACCCATCGGCTCCCTTCTCTCCCCTCTGCAGAGCGCCATCTTCCTCTTCTTCGCCGGCAGGATAGAGGAGATCAAAGGGAACATCAGCGAGGTAAGAGACCCCTCGCCTGGGGGACCCCCTCACAGAGCCAGGCTATGGGACAGGAGGTGTCCTGAGCCAGCCGGTCTCCTGCCCCGGGGCCGGATGGGAGCCGGAGCCCCCTAGAGGGGAAAGGCCCCATGTCCCATTTCCCACCCCCTGAGCCAGCCAGTCCCCCTACCCCGGGACCGAATCGGAGC